TACACCCACTTCGATCCAATAGCACGTTTTCCCTTTGGCAAGTCTTCAAGAGTCCACGTACCATTGTCTTCAAGTGCCTTTACTTCATTCTTAATTGCTGTCACCCAATTTTCGTTTTGAGCTGCCTGTTTAAAAGATTTTGGTTCTACATTGGAGCTAATGGCAGCATGAAACGCTTTGTGACTGTCAGTAAAATTTTCATAAGATATATAATTAGTGAGAGAATGTACCGTAGAAGACACTTGATGGCTTGTAGGGTGTGCATGGTCTATCGAAGGAGGTAATTTTACAATATAATCATCAAATCTTTTCGGGGGAGCTCTTACACGTTTTTCTCTTGTAGTGTCAAGTAGATTCTCATCATTATTTTCTGTGACCCCAAGGGTACCAGTAATGTTTTCTTGTTCCCCAGCATTAACCTCATTTTCTTCGGTAAGATTTTGTTCGTCAACATTACTCCTTATTTCTTCTTGATTTGCTTCAATGATTGAGTGTTTGAAGTGCACCAAGTCTTCATCTTCTTCGTTTAGATCAAAAACAACATCAACCTTGTCTTTGTCATGACTTTGAACCTTTTGTGAGTTTGATGAAAATGGAAAAACATCTTCCACAAACTTCACATCCCTTGTCACTGTTATCTTATTAGTTTCTGTATCAAGTACTCGGTATCCCTTTTGACCATGCGGATATCCTATAAATACCCCAGGTTTTCCTCTTTCATCAAATTTGTCCCCTTTGGTGTTTGTGTTTCTAGCATAGACTAGACACCCAAATACCTTCATGTGAGAATAATCAGGCTTTTTGCAAAAAAGGACTTCATATGGTGTTTTAGAATTCAGGACATTGGAAGGTAATCTGTTAATAATGTAGGTAGCAGTGAGAACGCACTCACCCCAAAATTTAATCGGTGACTTGCTTCAAATCTCAAGGCTCTTGCAACTTCAAGAAGATGTATGTGCTTTCGTTCAACAACCCCATTTTTTGAGGGGTGTGTGGACAAGAAGTCTCATGAATGATTCCCATCTTAGAATAGAAATCATTCATGAGTCCGAAAGTAAATTCTCCTCCATTATCACTTCTGATCTTCTTGACATCTTTTCCAAATTGAGTTTTGATCATATTGCATAAGTTAATTAATTGTTGGCGGGCCTCATGTTTGTTTTTGAGCAAGAACACCCAAACAGCTCTACTATAATCATCAACCACAGTAAAAAAATAATGTGCCCCAATAAGTGAAGGTGTGCGATAACTTCCCCATATATCACAGTGAATTAATTCAAACAAGCAATCGTTTTAATATAACTATTAGGAAAAGGAAGTCTTGTGTGTTTAGCCCTAACACACGAATCACAAACTCTATCATTTAACTTTTTCATAGAATTTCCTAAAAAATCAACTTGGCTCAACTTAGACACAGATGCATGTCCAAGCCTTTTATACCACACCTCAACATCCGGCGCCACCACTAAAGCTTTATTCTCTCCCGCCACCGAATCCATTCGATAAAGACCATCGCTGCACTTACCCATGCCAATCAAGCTCTTCTTGTGTAGGTCCTATATGAGGCAAAAATCACGGTAAAAGGTTACAACACAATTTAGTTCATCAGTGAGACGACTAACAGATAAAAGATTGCAATCAAATTTTGGAATGTAAAAAACATTCCCAATCTTAATTCTGTTGGGAAGATGTCATGCCCCCTTTCCTTTGACATGGATGGAATCGCCATTTGGTATAGTTACCGGGAACTCATTATCACAAAGAACCTTTGTTTCGAGTAAGTTTTGATCACTCGTCATATGGTTTGTGGCTCCTGTATATATAATCCAAGAACCATTATTGTTTTTCCTACCTGCCATGTTGATGTTCTTACCAGCCATGTTGACAGAAGGTTTGGTGTTGATACTAGATTCCTTTGCAAAGTATTTGAGTAACCCTTGATATTATTCATCGGAAAGAACTGGAACTTGGCCTGTCTCGAGATTTGCCACAGCAGCCTTCGGTTTCGCCTTATCTTTCTTCCCTTTTCCTGGCCACCATCCCGGGTAACCAATATGTTTGAAACAACCTTCCTTGTTGTGTCCACTTATTCCACAAAAGGTGCAATGCTCGACTTCATCACTACTGTTTCGTTTTGTGTCTTTCGCCACCCCTTTGTTACGTTGAGATGTGAGGTCAGAACTCCACTCACATCGGTTACCTAAGCTTTGGAATGCATCAGCTTCTTGCGTTGGTTTCTTTGTTGCTGAAATAGCACGTTGTTGTTCATCTTCCGAGACAAGGTGATAAGCCGTCCCTAGTGTAGGAATAGGTTTGGAAGCAAAAATTTGAGTCTTTATTGTTGAGAAGACATTGTCACGACCCATTAAAAACTCGTAAAGCCTTTCCTTTTCTTTGGATTCATTGAGTCTTTTGCCAAAAACGCAGGTACACTTCCCACACGTGCGACGAGGTATTGGCGATATGGTTTGAATTTCATCCCATAAACTCCTCATTCGTGTGTAATAAGTTGAGACAGAAGCACCATCTTCAGACGTGTTGTTGAGTGTTTGTTTCAATTCGTAGGCACGAGGTGCGCTCTCCTTTCCAAATTGCTCTTCTAGATCAGCCCATATTTCCGCAGCAGTGTTTGCGTATTTGACACTTGACCTGATGTCCTTCTCCATTGCGGTAGTCAACCATCCCTTTACCATGGCATCACATCTCATCCATGGCATATAATCAGCTGAAGTATCAATGGGTTTGGGAATGGTTCCGTCAACGAAACCAATTTTGTTTTTAGCAAACAGAAAATTTCTCATCTCTTGAACCCAATCATTGTAATTGCTATCGGTAAGAGAATCATTCACCTGCATCTGTTTGGGGTAGTCTGAGGCATGGATATAGTATGGCGAATTAGCCCTGATTGTTTCGTCGTCCTTTTTGGATGAATCGGCATCATCTCCGACCATCGTCTAGCCGTCTCCGATCTTCTTGAAATAGATTTGATTAGACCTTCTCTGATACCATAAAGAATTTGATGGTTCAAAAAGCTGCTTTCATTAAACCCAAAAATGGGTATATATACTTACGAAATCGGATCCCTCCTGTTATGATCAGGAGGCTAAAACTTAGGTAACAAGCAAAGTTTAAAATAAAGATAAACACTACATTATCCTCTACACACGTATATGATCAACTCTAAGATATCAAAATAAACAATAATTTGTTTACATATTTATAGTAGTAGGGAAAATATTTATAGTAGTAGGGAAAAATGAAAAAAAAAACAATTAAATTGGCAGCAATGGTCACAATAACAGTCACAAAGCTCCAACGTTCAAATTTACCACCGGTGGAAACCCACCAACGGTAAACTACCGCCGGTTAAAAAGAGGGAGCGGCGCAGTGTTCACCGCTGGTAAAGGTGCACGTTTGAATACCTAGTGGCGGAGCCAGGGTCAAAGTAAAAGAGTATCCCAAAAAAATCGCATAGTATACAATAAGAAACAAATAAAACCCCCAATTTCATTAGATTTTTTTTTTAATTCCTACATCATTGTTGTCTCCAACATATAATTGTCTTTTGAAAAATTTGTTAATAACAACTTACAATCAAAATATAGCAACTATAAACTTGATTTCAAGTTTCAACAACAGATAGCAACCTACAATCAAACTATCAAAATATATCAACTATAAACATGATTTCAAGTTTCAACAACAAATAGCAATCTACAATCAAGTTATCAAAATATATCAACTATAAACTTGATTTCAAGTTTCCAACAACAAATAGCAATCTACAACCAAATTATCAAAATGTATCAACTATAAACTTGATTTTAAGTTTCAACAACAAATAATCACTAATTGTTAACCCTAAAAACCTAATCTAACAATCCTAATTGGTAATTTCTAAATTTTCAACATAATGGCAAAAAATTGAATTTCAATTAGCTAAACAATAATCACTCATTTTTGTACTTACTTGCTTCGTTGTCCACTTTGATAAATAATCACCCAACATCGGAGAAGATTTCGTCAAAAACACCCACCACCGGAGGCTAATCACCAACAGAAAGAAGGAAAGCAACATCGACAGCGTGCGTGAGTCGCAGGAGGGGGGAGTCCGAGTCGGGACAAGTCTCTCGAGTGTTGGTTGAATTTCTGAATTTGTGATTTCCAATTTTTCATTGGTATTGGGCTAAATTTTGTATTTTATTGAAATAATTTTGTGTTGGACAATTGGTCAATTGAGCTTAACAAGTTTGGACTACTTGGTAATTGAATTTACCACTGAAAAATAACCTAAATTTTTTTAAGGTAGCCCAAATTATTTTATGGGGTATCACCACAACATAAACAAAATTTTCCAATAAAATTTATCCTACTGAAATTTTTTGAGGGCATCCCGGACTACCCGAACTCCAAAATGGATCCGCCTATGTGAATACCTCCGATAATTATCGAATCACACCATATATATAGGCTTAGTGGCCGGCTGAGCCGACGGAATGAGGATTTAGGGGGTTTAGAAGCCTTGATCGATGGAAAATAAGGGATGAACAACAAGAATGAGATGATACCATGATTTGCACACTTTCTAGGGTAATGGGTTGTAGGCTAATATTGCTGCCACCCGTATTGATGTCGCCCCAATTATAAATTCTCCTTATTTGATAATTATTTTTGTAAAATACATGTACATTTGTGTCGGAAACTCCCATCAATATACCGGGACCACCAATTATCGACTTCTAGGGTTAACCCTAATTCTTTTGAAAACACAAATAACAAAACAACAAGGAACAAAACAAAGTAACTATTTACATATGGCTTTGAAGTGCAGCCACCCAACGACGACGTGCTAACATTTTTCCTCCGTCACTCCACAAATGCATCAAAGCAATTCAACACGTAGTTTCCATGCAGTCGCTCAACAATCCTATAAAATCCAGCAACTTTTACACCCCATTACGCATCACTCATCAAATTAATACATATCAATCCATCATACAATGGCAAGGTTCTCGGTCCTATTTGCAGCAGCAGGACTCCTCCTCCTAGTAGCCATGGCGGAGGCCACCACCAAAACCATCTTCACCACCACCACCTTTGAGGAAAACCCCACCGACAGAACTGATATGTCATGCAGTCAGCAGCTGGTTGAGCAGGGGATGCTTAACCACTGTGTGAAGTACCTTGAAACTGGCTCAGGAATGAGCATGGACCTAGAAAGGACGTCGGAGCCAACCCCTGCAGAGAAGCACTTGATGCTGTGCTGCATGCAAGTAAGGAACATCGATGAGATGTGCAGGTGTGACGCCATCAAGATGATGATGAACCAACAAGGGTGGACGCAACAACAGATGGGTCAGATGATGGGCATGGCGGAGAACCTGCCCAACAAATGCAAAGTCGAACCAGAAATGTGCAAAATGAGAGCCGTCTGGTTCTAAATTAAAATGCATCGTACGCCATTTAAGTGGTCCGTAGTTAATAAAACGAGACTCGCTATCACACCATCGTGTGTATGGATGTTATATATTCCATTGTGTGTCGCAAAATTTAATAAATTTTGAACTTATTCCTTTTGTATCTCTTGTCACGTGCTAATTAATTTGTTTTATTTATTCTCTTGTATTCAGTGAAATGGCTTATTCACCATAAACAAAAATAAGCTATTGAAGCGATACATTTTTGCGAAATGTGGGGAGAAATTCACCATATTCCTGGAGAGATATTGACATTCCAAAAAATATTAATTCATGCAAAAAGAAGTCCTTAAAGGGAGTTTTTTTTTTTTTTATTTATTATTATTATAAATAATGTTGTTTTCAATAGTGTTTGTAAATATGTGTGCTGTATTAAAATGTGTTGCAAAAATGGGGTGGTGACCCCACCATTCCAGCGTCCGTTCATAATATTTTACAAAATCAATGATCTTTAAATTTTGTTACGATGTTATATTTATATCCAATTAATTTTAATTTTTTTAAATTATTATTTTTATACATAAGTTATTTATTTGGGAATATTTAAATAAAATATAAACCAAACTTTTACTTTAAAACTATAAACTATAATAAATAAATAAAAACTTTTAGAAAAAAAGACAAATACAACAATCACTAAAATTATCATATAACAATCTTCATTAAAGTTTCATTATTTTATCTTAATTTACGAATAAGTGTCAAATTAAAGTTTGTTTACGAGAAAAAATGAATTACTGGTAAAATGATGATTTTGCTATTTTTTCACGGTTTACCGGTTTCTTTGTTGACCTCGATGTATTAAAGTCTCATTATTTTACTTAATTTACGAATAAGTCTCAAACTAGTAACAATTTCATCATTTTTGTAGTTTATAAGAAATTTCAAATTGTCTATGTAACCCAACATATCCATCATCATCATTACATTTCCCATCTTTTTTCCCGGTAATTCATGCTTATTGGTAAACAAAATTATTTTGGGACTTATTCATAAATTAGGGTAAAATAATAGGACTTTAATACGTGAAGTTCAACAATGAAACCAGTAAAGTCGAGAAAAATGATCAAATCGTTATTTTTATCGGTAATTCATGTTTTTTCATAAACAAATTTTAGTTTGGGGCTTATTTGTAAAGGCAAAATAATGAGACTTTGATGAATATTTCCCTATAAAGAAATTACAAAAATAAATAAACATAAAATTACAAGATTAACTAAACTTGAAATTACAAGATCTATCAAAAAAATACATTTTCTACATGGCATTAAACCTTGGCTGTTCAGATATTTTTTCGATTATGATTAGATTGGTGGCATAGTCCATATCTACCGGTATAAAAAATTATATATAAAAATTTATGACTAGGTTGGTGACAACTTTTTCGATTATGACACATTTTTTTCTATTTTAGATAAAAAAAATTATGAATAAAAATAAAATAGTGGTATAAAATATAAATTGATTATGAAAATGATAAGAAAATATATTATTTAAATTAAAGGGCTATAAATGAAATATTATGAAGTTGATTTCGTAAATAGTTTGGACGAATATTTATATAACATATAAATGAAATTTGTATGTTATTTAATGATTCTTAAATAAATAACTTATATATTAAAGATAATAACAATTTAAAAAAATAAATATAATATAAATATGACATCTTATAAAACTTAAAGGATAGTGATTTGTAAATGTAATTATAAGACTTAAAAAGGATAAAAAAATGGAATATTAGAGGTTTGATTTGTAAATTGTTACGAGCGTACTGTGGAGTGGGCCACTGCCTTATTTACAATACATTTTGAAACATTACCATTTTTACAAGTACTTCTGAAAAAAAAAAAAAAAAAAAAACATTATTTAAAAAAAAGGCAAAAAAAAAAAACAAATATCCTTAAAGGACGTCAACATTAGGCTTTAGGTTACATTATAAAAAGGAGTTAAAACCTTTGAAAAGTGATTACTAGGTTGTTTACATGAAGGACTTGAAAAGTGAATTTGTTGACGAGTTTATCATGTAATTGAATATATATTATTGGGGCCGATATTTGTTCACCTGGAGAAAAAAAAATCGATGAAATTTGGTGGTGAAAATGTTTATTCGATCGTATCATGCAATTTGATGATCTAAAGAGCATGTATGTAGAAAAAGCACGACAAAAAAACTTACTTTTACCGACGACAAAAAGCGTCGTAATTGATACTAGAAACCTTTAGAGTCGACATGTGTGTCGTTGCATGGATCGTTGCTTACTTCGTGGCTAATAGTAAAAAATCGTCGCAATGGGCCGCTGCTAATATATGTCGCCGCTAAAAGGTAAATGTAGTCGCAAAAACGTGTGTCGATATTACCTTTCTTGTACACCAGTGAGAGTTTTTCCAGCCAAGTTGTCAGAGTCATGAGGCGTTGCAAATGTAGGTTGTTGTCGCAAATGATGTTGTCACTAATGCTATTTGATTTTTTAATATAAAATTTATATTTTATATAATTTAGATTATAAAAATATAGATTATAATCTAAAAATCCGCATTACATAAACTCTCAAATAACATAAAACAAAATATACTAAATTACATAAGCGATCTAATCCACACGTATACGGTTTTGACGTTTAATCCACAAATGATTTGATAAATCCATAATAACATCATCCATAACATACAACAAAACATACTACTGCTCTTCCCCATCGTCGTCTTCCCCGTCGTCGTCTTCCCAGTCGTGGTTGCTTGTATTGCTTTTGTTGATGTTGACGTAGTTATTTCTAGACTCTTGATGATTTAAAAGGAAGAGGCTTAAACTAAAAAACCTATTTTTTTTATTATAGCATTGTATTTTAAATAATTAAGTTACTAAATTATAACTTAGTATATTTAGCATCTTATATTTTTTGTTTTTATTATTTTCCTATTATATTATAACATTTTACTTTAAAAAACTTATTAGAATTTTAGTATATTTTTGTTATTTATAGCATCTTATTTTTTTCATATTTTTATTGTTTATAGCATCTTATTTTTGTTTTTATTTTTCTATTAGGGCATTGTATTTTTTCACATTTTTTATTTATAATATCTTTCTTATGTTGTTTTTCTATTATAATATTCTACTTTAAATGACATTGTGATTATAACATCCTATTTTTTTGTTTTTTCAATTGTAGCATTGTACTTTACATATTATGGAGTTTTAAAGACTAGCCTAATTAATTCATAACATTTTACATACAAATACACATATACACATATATACTTAATACATAACGTGATATTTTCCCATGAGGATACGTTCATTAAATCAAATATATATATACCAATACAATGTATAAGGTCTCTTAAGATAAAGGGCCAATCAATAAAAGGGCTACACTAAAAATACAACATAATAATAATAATAATAATAATAATAATAATAATAATAATAATAATAATATCTAACAATCCCCCGCATTTGGAATGGGGAAAGAATCGCAAACGTTCAAACTGGACCAGAAATCAAGAAAGAGCATTGAAGGAAGACTCTTGGTGAAGATGTCTGCATTTTGAGATTTAGATGGAACATGAAGTACTCAAACATGACCAATAGCAACTTTATCGTGAACAAAATGGAGGTTCATCTCAATATGTTTAGTTCGTTGATGTTGAACCGGGTTGGATGACATGAATATTGCACTAACATTATCACAGTATACAAGAGTAGCACGATATGGAGAATAGTGTAGTTCAAGAAGTAAGTTACGAAGCCAGTAGGTTTCAACAACAACGTTGGCAACCCCGCGATACCTAGCCTCAACACTGGAGCAGGAGATAGTATTATGGCGTTTGAATAACCAGGATAAAAGGTTATGACCAAGAAACACACAATAACCAGATGTGGAGCGCCTGGTGACGGCATAGCCAGCCCAGTCAACATCTGAGTATGCAATAATATCACGAGAGGGAGAGCAGTATATCTAAAGTCCATGAGCAGTGGTGCCATGAATGTACCATAAAATGCATTTCAAAGCAATGAAATGGGGCTCATGGGGATCATGCATATAGAGGCATACCTGTTGAACAACATAAGTGATGTACGGACGAGTAAATGTAAGATATTGAAGAGCACCAACCAGTGTGACAACCCGAAAAAATTTTGCTTTGAAATCTCAGTCAGACAACTCCACTGAGTGTCAGACTCATTGGTAATGAGTTCTAGCCTGGTTAAAGGTCATTCTAAGGAGTTTTAAGCCTAGTACACTTAAGGAATGAGTGTTAGAATGTACTTGCTAGAGACACTGTTCAACGAATCAAGCCTTAACCTCTTCATTTAGAGTTCACGACCACAACACTTGAGTTTACGGCCGTAAACTCAAGGTGGGCCGTAAACTCCCTCCATATAGGCTCATATCCTTCAACTTTCTTCATTCTTTCATTTCCAACCCCAAGAACTCGAGTTCTCTCTCAGGTATCATCGGATTCTTCATCTAGATCTTCATTTATGTAAGTGTTCTAACCTTTGATTAGTTGATATCCTTCATTAACTAGTATCATTCCATGATTTCATCCATGAAATCATTCCATTTTGTTAGATCATCAAGAACACCAAGAACACCAAGAACACACACTAGTGTTCTTGGCCAAAATCAACCATTTCAAGCCTCTATATCGTAAGTACTATTCCCTATACTTGATATCTAGTTAAGACTCATGCTTAGAACCTTGAAATCATCAAGAATGCAAGACCAAAAGGAGTTTACGGCCAAGCCATCTCCCATGGCCGTAAACCCCTATAAGTATGCCATTTTGGCCATAAACTCTTCCTAAAGCTTGGATTTGAGGCTAGAACACTCCCTTGTGCTTTGTAAGACCTTGAATCATCACCAAACTCATCATCAAAGAGAGTTTACGGCCATGAGTAAACTCCCTTGTCCGTAAACACCTCAACACTCTCCATTGAGTTGGTCTTTCTCATCCTT